TACTGGGCACAATCCGTCTGGTGGCAGGTAAGAGAAAATAAGCTGAAATGAGCAAAGAGGATAATTAAAGAAGGAAATTAAATTGAAAATATTAGAGTGTAAGATGAAGGCATACTTCACATCATGCTTTAGGCAATAAATCTCTTGCTTAGGTATTTGTTATTAATTTCTAAAAGTAATACTCCTCAAATGATTAAATTTATCAGCCTAAGATTCTATTACAAAACAAAGGTTTTGTGTTTTGTTTTATTTTAACTAGAGTTGAAATCCTTAGTCAGCTAGACATTTTCATAAATTCCAAGAGTATTTAAATAAAAATTTTAATGCATTGATGGACCAGGGTGTTCTACACCTACAATCCTGTAGCGCATGTTAGAGAATGTTACTTGGTGCTGAGTTATTAATAAGGTGATTTTTGCTTGTCTGAATTTTGTTCCATTGAACTTTTTTAAAGTTCCTATTGTTTGAGGCACTGTGCTAGATACAGAATTATAAAAGATGAAAGTCCTTTTTGTCTTATAGTTCACAGTCAAGTAAGACAGGCATGTAAGTAGTAAATTGCTACAGTACAGAGTGACCAGTGCTAGGAGAGAGATGTGCACAGAACTTCCAGGAGGACACTTGTGGGTAGAGCATTGCATAGACCTTAAGAACTAATTTAGTGGGAAAGGGTTACTTTGCGTTAATTGTAGGGGGAGGTGGCCAGGATCAGTGTTGGTGTATTGTGCGTGATGCTGTAATGACTCCTTGATTCCTAACCACTCATCCTTGTAATATTGTAGTAACCGATTAGTTATACTGCTCCAGCACATTTCTCTACCGTATAGAGTGACATGAAGGACATAGGAGTGTATAGAAGGGCCAATACCCTGCAGTGGTCAGATCTTGTGACCTGTGATGCTTTAAGCTACCTGCTGAGAAATGATTGGCAAAGGCCTGTGTATGCCTTGGGGATAACAGGAGAGAGAGAAAAGTATTTTCTGTCTCTACTGTCCATCTGCTAAGACAACTCCTTTTGTTACCAAAAGCTTTTGCTTTTATCTTTTTTGAAAAAAATTTGACCTTTCAATAGGAATTTTTCTAAATAATATACTGGTTTTTCTATTCATAAATTATAAGGTTTTTAAAATGGGCCTTGACCAGGTGCAGTGGCTCATGACTGTCATCCTAGCACTTTGGGAGGCCGAGGCAGGAGGATCACTTGAGGTTAGGAGTTTGAGACCAGTCTGAGCAAGAGCGAAACTCTGTCTCTACAAAAAATAGAAAAATTAGCTGGGTGTGGTGGCTTGCACCTGTAGCCCAGCTACTCGGGAGGAAGACTGAGGCAGCAGGATCACTTGAGCCCAGGAGTTTGAGGTTGCAGTGAGCTGTGATGATGCCACTGTACTCGAGCTAGGGGGATAGAGCGAGATCCTTTCTCAAAAAAATAAATAAAATAAAACAGGCCTTTTATCTGAGTAGCACAATATAGTCTCATTCTTTGCTGGCCTTCAAAATTCATACAATAAGGACTCCTACCTTTGTCTTTACAGTTGCCTTTTTTATAATTATGTGTATTTGGCTTTGTTTTTTGCAGGTAATTATCTTATTGTCATTACCAAAAAGACAAAGATAGGTGAATTTTTCAATCATGTAATCTGGAAAGCAACAGATTTTGATGTCCTTTCTTATAAGAAGACAATGTTGCACTTAACTGATATTCAGGTGAGAAGTTGCTAATTGTAAAACCCAAAAAGTACCATGGGGTGGAGGGGTTGTGGAATACAAAGAATGTTCAATGAATTTCTTTTAAACCTATTTATTTAAGCAACCTGTAGATCAAGATCACTCTACTTACTTTTCTATGTAGCCATAAAAAAT